TGGTCTAAGTCTCGAGGCAGAGAAAAAGGAACCAGAGTGATTGTACGGCTGCCTATGGCGCTGCCATGTGGCCTCGATCACGTGGGTTTGTGACGTAAGGGGTAAAAGAATCTTGGGGTCATGGGGCATCCCCTGACCTAGATTCTATCTCTCCGTAACCAGCAGAAACACTGATTAATGCCTACAGTTCAAAATAATCATTTTGACTGACCGGAGTCTATGGTGGGTATGAACTATGTGAATAGGCGGGTTCGGAGAACCCTTGCCTAAGTATCAATCGACACGCAGCAAAGGTCTATGCGTGGCGTACTGTCTTCGTGCATACTTTGAGGTATCCTCGTAATAACCTTATTATTATACATCTTTTTCTCCAAGGATACACCATGGGAATGCAGAAATCCTAAATTTTTATAACATAATCAGTGAACTTTAATGTGTGGAGACCAGTCAAACTCTGATGGCAGCCATGTTTGTTTTTATTATTATTAGAGGACGCTTACCTGTGTAATCATTCCATATTTGGAATTTGCATTTCCTAATATGGTAGAATGAAAATACCAAAATTACGGCACACTGTAACTTATGGCGTTACGATGACAGATGTATGTAAAATAATGACCATTATTTTAGTTTATTTACTTGACTCAAAAATTCATAGAATATTCATATTCTAAGACTCAATCTAGAAAGGCATTTATTTCATGAATGAGCATTCACTCTCATCCACTCACAGTAATGAATTCACCACACTGACACATTGTTCTATGGTAAATTTTACATATGCACTGGGTTTTAATTTAGCGCATTTTCCAGCCAGCAAAATAAGCAAAATTAAAACCCAGTGAATAATTAAGCCTTTTACAGTACTTACCTGTTTACATTTCTTACACCAACTCCACATGAGTATATTGTCCTGATATCCCGGTATTGGTGAGTCTAATTCCCGTAATAATATCTGTAGACAACTGTTGCCATGTACAAACTTCCGAGAATGGTCAACCATCGGCATATCACACGTGGTACTGGGACACATGTAACTTTGTCTGATGAACACAAAAAAATTGGGTAAATAGTTGACACTCCCGTACAATGAATGTAATTTGTTTTATTCGTGTTACCCAAATCATGAAAAACTATTATCAGCAAATTTCCAATAACAAGTACCACTTATTCATATTTTGAGAAAAAATGAATCTATTGATTGGTATGTGTAGATTAGCACATGACATACATTCTCATACAAGTATGTGTAAACTACGATGCGTTATCTGTAAAAAAAAGTTTCTAACAGCACCTCTAAAACACTATACAACAAACTGGCAAACTGATAATAAATTAAAACTCAATAAAATAACAAACACAATCAAATTAACCTTTTCACCACCAGCTCCCTCTTTTCAGCACAAAATAGTTCTGATTATAGTCTGCACTTACCTACAGACGATTCCTTCAAAAAGCTAAATTTTTGGAGTAAAAACTACAAATTGACTCAAATAGTTAAGTTACCTGAAACAATATCTCTCTAAAAAGGCCCCTAGTGTGATATCATTTCTACCATAAAAATCCATCGATACAACCCTGGAAACAATGACAGTTACAACAAAGATAAACACAGATATCAAAACTACAAAGTCAAATATTTTCACAATATTGTTGTGACAGGGAAACAGCTGAGAATGACAAAAGATGAGATATTTTAGAAGCACTTCATCATTGTACCCCTACAGCATCTTCGACCATGAGAAAGAGCAGAGAAAAACATTGAATGACACATGG